AGATGGCGTCGATACATGTGCATGTGCTTTTATAGGAGGTAACAACGAACTATATATAAATCCGACCCTATTTCCCTTATATCCGCCTATGAATAGTTTAGAAATAAAGTGAAGGATAGAAAAAGACTGGAGACAGATGTACTGACGCCGTCTCGCAGCTGATGGAACAGAATTGGAGACCGAAAATGTAGGCTCTCTATTCCTATTTCTTTCTGTCTTGTTAAATAGGGGTTGGATATCGCAACCCGAGGTTTGGTAGTTGACGTATGCGTAGAATCATTTAGCGAGCTGCAATTTAAGTGACACGACAGGCCCCGCTCTATTGATTGTTAGCTTTTCCAACATCACAAGTAGGCTCGGATGCCCACTCGTTAAAGCTTGACAAGCTTAATTACTAGCCCGCCGACGGCTTTTTATTCTTTATGTTGTTTCTCGGGATATGGCCAGTTCTCGAGGGTCTTTGTTCCGCTTTTTTCTCTGTCATCGCAAACATCTCAATCAGGCATCACGAAGAAATAAGTGTGTCTGAACTTGACAATCTTTCGCCCTCAGAACTTGAAAGCTCCAGTACGTGACATAATAACCGCCACTCAGCGCCATTTCGCAAAAGCTCATCAACATAGCGCGTCTTGCACCACATATGAGCAGTGAAATGCCGTATTCACACAAACTTGATTATCAATCGTGTTCCTCCAGCGCGACCCTTAGACATCTGCGCCTTCTGAGGCAACCGTCGTCGGCTCGGCATGCCCGAACCTAGCGGCTTTCATGGGCATACGTAGCCTCGGGAGGCTCTTGTAAGTCACGATGATCATAATTGACGGTATTATTGTTGCTGGACATCATATGTTGCTCTCATACCTCTTACACTCGGACCTTCCATTGGTGAGGCGGTGTGTGCAGCCCAGCCACCTATGATTTTCCAACTAAGATGACGAAAAAGATCCAGAATGTTTGAAGAACCGAGTCTCGTTCAATGCGCTCACGTTACAAGTTTTTTCAGCCTCACCACCTCTTGGAGAGATCTGAAGAAGAAAGGAGCTTCTAGAAATCCCAGAAGTTTCCGCATTTAGCCATCGACGCCGGGGTTGTCTCCCACATCACGTTGTAGATCGGGCCGCGCAATCAATCGGTGCGGCCCCCCATCCCCCCCCCCCCCCGGCAGGCATGTCACAGCATCAGTCGAAACACGAAATGCGGGGACCAACGAGGATCGCAAAGGCCCAAAGAGGATTGCGAATCTACATGGTAACGTCAGAGCTCAGAAACCCCCAGCTTTCCGTGATGCGACTCCTTGTTTGAACCCCTTTCAGGAATTTTCCCACTGTTGTTACTCTTTTCTCCGAACCGGATGGGGTCCCGAAAACAAGCTCCCGCTCCCTCCCCACAAGGCTTCCCGGCAGGACCGCAACGGCAGAAGGGAGCCAAGCCTCAATAGAGAATTGAGGCTCAGAGCCACTTTACGGGGGTTTTTGGCCATCTGGGGCTCTGCCGAACCGTGTATTCTCGTTAGACGTTCGGACTAGTCTGCATTCTGTTTACTTTTACCTAATTCAAGCTTCGTAATCGTTCGATTGGGGGCTGGGTTCATCCTCCCATCGCAGGCCTTCACACGCCTTTGCAGGCAACGTCAATGCTCGTTTGAGGTTCGGTGGACGACGACATGCCATCTAAACTCCCGATGTTGCAAGATGCTGGGTTGGTGATGTCGCGATGTCCACGGCCCGTCAAGTGTTCAACACACCGGGCTATGCTTCGACGCAGCGTTCTAGACATCGGCAAACACGGCCCTGGGGAAACGTCAGCTGAATGGCAACATGAGACGAGCTGGATGATGGGATCAGTGGAGCTGAAAGTCTTCATGTTGCTTGCCGATGGCGACAAGTCTTGAGAATCATTTTGGCTATAAAGACTCACTCGATCTCGAGGAAATCAGGTTTCTTTTTCTCATCATTCTCATCAACAGTTTCTTAACTTTACCTCAACATCCTTTCTAACTCTTCAACCTTCTCCCGTGCTGTGCACATCTAACTTTAGTCATATTCACTATTTTCTCTTGATTCTTCACTTCTTCGATTCTTTCGACGATACCCCAACTCTCTCACCTCTGTACTGTCATTACTCGACTTTCTTGACCAAGTCTTCAATACCTAGTCAAAATGCGTTACACCACTCTCACCGTCCTCGCCATTGCCCTTCTCACGGGTAATGCCTTGACTGGTAAGTACTCTCACGAACATCCCACAACATCAATGACTAACACTCTTGTTCCTAGCTCCCGCTCCTCAGGGCGGTGCTGGTGCCATCGGAGGTGGTAACGGCGGAGGGGCCGGCAACGGAGCCGGAACCGGAGGCAACACCGGAGGCAACACCGGCAACACTGGCAACGCCGGCAACAACAACAACAACAACAACGCCGGAAACAACAACCAGCAGCCCCCTCCTCCCCGCCCTACCAACACCAACAACAACCCTAATAATGCCAACCCCAACAACGCAAACAACGGAAACGGCGCGAACGCTGGGAACAACGCCAACAACGGCAACGCCAACAATGCCGGAGCTGCTGGCAATAACGCCGGCAACGCCAACAATGCCAACAACGGCAACGCGAACAATGTGAACAATGGAGCTGCGGGTGCCAATGGCAATGCGGCTGGCAACAACGCAAACACTGCCAACAACGGCAACAACGTTGGCAACGGCAACTTCGCCAGAGCCGTGGCTCCCAACCAGCAGCCTCCCCCTCCTCCGGCGAACAACAACCAGCCTCCTCCTCCCAAGCCCAACAACCGCCGAGCTGTGAACCCTCAGGCTGCTCCTCCCCCTCCTCCCAAGGACAACACGCCTCCCCCTCCTAAGCCCAACGGTGCCAGAGCCATCAACCCGAACCAGCAGCCTCCTCCTCCTCCCGCCAACGACAACACTCCCCCTCCTCCTAAGCCCAACAACCGCCGGGCGGTGAACCCCAACCAGCAGGCTCAGGCTCCTCCTCCTCCTCCCGCCAACGACAACACTCCTCCTCCCCCGAAGCCCAACGGAGCGAGAGCAATCAACCCCAACCAGCAGCCTCCCCCTCCCCCGGCCAACAACGAGCAGCCTCCTCCCAAGCCCAACAACCGCAGAGCCGTCAACCCTCAAGCCGCTCCTCCCCCTCCTCCCAAGGACAACAACACCCCTCCCCCTCCTAAGCCGAACAACGCTAGAGCCGTCAACCCCAATGCGCAGGCGCCCCCTCCTCCTCCTCCCGCGGAGAACCAGCAGGCTCCTCCTCCCAAGCCTAACAACGCCGCCAGGGCCGTGAACCCGAACCAGCAGGCTCAGGCTCCTCCCACTCCTCCGGCCAACGACAACACCCCTCCTCCTCCCAAGCCTAACGGCGCTCGGGCTGTCGACCCCAACCAGAGACCCCCTCCTCCTCCTCCTACCACCAACCAGCAGGCTCCTCCCCCTGCTATCTAAGCGTAGCCTGTGACAAGGTCGCCGATGATAGTGACTGGTAATCTTTCAGTACTTGAGAGGACCAGTCGGGAACCACGTGGTCCTGTAACTAGTCAAAATTTTGGAGGGAGACAGATGATTTGGTAGCAAAACGGTGCGAATGGCAAGGTGGCTGAGATTAATGAATGATGTATAGCTCAGACTTGGTTTGCTTTGCCTCAGGTTTAAAGCCCAGAATCATAGCAAATGTAACTCTAAGGAATCAATAACAGACTACTATTGTCTTAAAGAAAAGTTTTTCCTCACTTATGACCGATAGATTACTGATTTGATGGACTTGCACTAAGATATTACCTCGACAGTTTCTTTCACAATTCGAGTCAGCTCATATCAACCACTTCTAGATCCGAAGAATCATGAGCATTTTGAGTAGTTCAAGACCGATAGTAAATATAGGGAAAGATTGTCTTAGATGAAACCTTACAGCCACTCAGAGCTCCTAGCTCAGTTCCCCTTCAACATCGCAAGCAACCCGTTGAAAGCCTTCTTCCTCTGCTCCTCCCCACGAGTAAAATACTTTGCTTGCCCAACCATAATATCATCCACGCCATCCTTCTCCAACTCTCTCCATGTCCCATCCATGAACTGCTCCAGCAGCATGCCCACATGAGCCCGTCCCGCCGCGACTAGGTGGGCCTGCCACGGCTCCATGCTTTTAAGCTTTTTGGGGTTTTAAGGCAACTCGCCGTCTGATCTTTATGGTAAACCTGTTAGCCCATACGCAATTAAAGGACCATCCATCATATGTTAAGCCATACAAACTTAGCATGCAACGGCTGACTCGTTGGTAATCACGCTCTCTCTGAATATGCGGTATTAGCCATGTAGGAGACCGAGAGCGAACCCAGCACGACACCTGGCCGCCAGCTGGCCACCTAGACACTTCATAAGACATATCGGCCGGGACACGAACTGGAGTTCATGACGCACTCGGTCTATTACTTTTTCATCCTCTACACCTCCTCCATTTGGAATATATACGAATCAACACCATTCGTTCTATTGCGCAATGGTCAACAACGGTCGACCGTCGAAAGATTGTTTCCCCTGCAGAAAAAGGAAGCTCCGGGTATGATATGCCTCATCAACAACCCCTGGATCAGCACGTAACTGCGTTCGGCAGTTGTAGTTTCTGCGAGCTAATGGACGGGACAAATATGTAGTGCGACCTTGCGCCTGGAGGATGCGGCCAGTGTCGGAGGGCCAAACTGAGCTGTCATGGGTACCGCGACTCTACCCAGCTTCTCTTCCGCGACGAGACCAAAACTACGGCTTCGAAAGTCTCGGCCCGATTAACTGCTGCTGCTGCTGCTTCTCGCTCTCGCCTCTCGATACGGGAATCTCCCCATCTCACATGGGAGGATATCTCCCGTAACACCTTTCTCTCCCTCTACGTCGTCGGGCTCAGCCACACCTTCGATACCCTCCCCACTCTCCTGACAAACTCCCCGCTCAATGGCCACTTACACATCAGCCTCGGCGCAGCCGGTCTCGCCTTCATGTCCTTCCACCTCAACAGGCATGATCTACTCCTCCTCGCCAGCAAACAGTACGTCGCCGCCATCCGAAGCATCAGATCGGCACTGAGCAGCAGCAGCAGCAACAACAACGACGAAGTCATCCAGTCGGCACTCCTCCTAGACCTCTACGAGAAGATTGCCAACCGCCATGAGCACCGATTCGCATCGTGGTTGAGCCACGCCCGCGGCGCTCTCCACATGGTCTGCGACCGCGCCAACACCGACTTCTCCAACCCTACCACCTGCCAACTCGCCAACAACGCCGCCGTAGCACTCATGAAGAGCTGCGGCATCGCCGGTTTCCCCGTGCCGCCCTCGCTGCTGGCCCTGCGCGAGGACCTCAACAGCTACGTCCGCGACGCCAAGTGGAGCTTCACGGGTCTCGTCGTCGGCATCGTCAACCTCCGCGCTTACATGCAGGGCCTGGCCTCGGGCGCAGCCTGTCCGAACGTGGTGCTGCGCCGGGCAAAGATCTTGGACGAGCACATGACCCTCGTGGAGAAGCGGCTCCAGCGCTCATGGAAGCCCACGCGTACTTTCACGGTTTCGTATAACCCGCTCATCTTTGGGCGGTATTACGATGTCTATCCGAGTCACCACGCAACGCAGGTGACTAACGCTGTTCGGATGATGCGTTTGGAGTTGAATAGCATCATTCAACATGTGGGCCATAGCGAAGAGCCCGCGATAAAGAGTCAGACCCGGGAGATTATCCGGGAACTCACTCGGCACTTGTGTGCGGCCGTGCCCCAATTTTTGCTGTTGATAGGGGGGGAAGCCACCAGCATACCAGTATATACCCTACCACCTTTGCAGAGGCTACATTGCTGTACAATGTTGACGCCACTGTACCTCTCCCATTGTCTCACGGAGGACTCTTATATGAAGGAATGGATCCTGCACATTCTTCTGTATATGGCGGAACATGGAGTCAAGTTGGCGAGTGACGTCTTCAAACTGATTTCGTCAGGTACATTTGTAGATTATTGGGCTCTTTATGCCATGGTTGGTAGCTATGCTATTGCAGCTTAATAAAGATTAAATCCAAGACTTTAGTACTGTGGCATACATTTGGCTAGCAGAGAGTTCATTATCTGGCAGGAAGTTGCGCTAATCTTCGGTGAACATAGGTTCTTGAAGCTAGGAGGAAGAACAGAGCTGAGTACGTAGGTTAAGATTCTGCGATTACACGCCGATCCAACAACCCATTGATGATTGGGGTCTTCGGACGGCGCCAGGACCTCTCAAACCTGCATCCTGTTTAGCCGCTGTACGGCTTAACAGAACAGGGGGTTCAGCCGGAGTAAAGGTTCCTCGGCAGTGCAGCATGCTCACATAATTAGAGGCCTATTCGCGAATTGTCCGAGATGATCGGGCCGATCCGCAGAATGCCAAAGGCTCCGGCCGTGGACAAAGATGCCGCCGCTGCATGACAATTTCGTTTGGTGAGGATACTGCCAAAGAAGCCCAAAGAAGCCACGGCGACCTACAGGTTCGAAGTCTCATTGAATACGACCTGCAAACTTCAATCGCGCCCATCGATCTCAAAAGTTGAGATGATGCTCCGTCTGACTAGGGTTTTAGAGTTCACAACTACGGAACGCTAGCCCTTTGGGGTTAATACCACTAAGCGCTGATCCAGACGTTCGGGATCACTTACAGGGTTCATGTCTTCATCCAAACGTCGCTCGGCGTTTTTTGGCACATGCTTGGCGATTGCCTATTTGGATCAAATAAGACAAGTAGGTTACCAGAAACGGGTGTACTTGAGGATGATATTCACAAATTCATCGGCGTTTTGATATGTTTTTACTCCGACATTTCGACCTAACTTGTACGTTGGAGAAGCCTTCGGAGATTCTTCGAGTCCAAATCAAGGCGCATGAGAAGTTTGGCAGTTGCCATTCCAAATGTAGTGTGACTGATTGCTGCACACTTTTCTTACAGCGTAGCACTTCGTCTTCCACAAGTTCACACACCGCAATTAAAACAAGCTTCTCAAATCTAGGTGCAAAATATGCCTTTTCCATACAAGGCAGCTCTCGTCACTAGCGCCACATCGGGGATCGGCCATGCTTTGGCGGAGCGCCTGATCGCGAACGGTGTCTTTGACATTGCAGTAGGTCGCCGCGCAGATCGTCTTAGACGAATACTCTCCAAGTACGGTAGCTCAAAGGTGACCACCGAGGTCTACGATGTTTCTGATATCGACGGCATATAATCATGGATGAAAGAGTAAGTACGTTTCCGCTCTAACTCCTCAACAAATCCCCCCCCCTCCCGCCTCATCCGGAAAGTAGTCCCCCAAACTAGATATTACTAGATGAAGCGCAAACCGTTTCCAAGTTTACGATTGATTGGAGAGTTTGGCCATGATACATCTATCACACTGTTCGTTAACACACAAGACTCCAATCAACGCCCCGCCAGAACTCCGCATCGGAAATGAGCGAAAGAAGTTGCGAGGACGATCTTAGCCCGAGACATCCAGCCTATACCCAACAACATTATCAGAATAGGCTCAGTGCCTCGGCCTTGATCATCATTACCTCATCTCGCAGGTGCGTCACAAAAGGAGGCTCAAGCAGCAGAACTCGATTCCCCAGAAAATGCTCCGCGCGCCGACTCCACGCGACAATCAGGAGATTCGCCAGCGTCATATTCTCCTCGTCCTTGAGCTCCCACAGGTCCTTGCGGCAAGCATACATCTTCTCAATGACAGCCCACGCCCTCTCCGCCAAGGAACCAACTACCCGATTCTGAAGCTGCGCGCCCAGGTAGTAAAATGTCTGAATCTTGAAGTCGAGGTCGATGAGCCACGCGAACTGGTGACCCGCGAGCCGCCGTTGCTCCAGCATGATCTCGAGCGCCATCAGTCCCACACTAAAGAACTTGTCGTCCGGGCCGTGCATCTCCGTGCCCCATTCCGGCGCGGCCTCCAGCGGCGTGATGACCTTTTCGACGATGGCGGCGAGTGAGGTGCGGGCGTAGAGTGCCATTGCGTGGAGCGGGTTCGCGGCGGAGTCGGAGAGTAGACGGCGCTCGAGGGGCCCCAGCGTCCGGTCGAAGTTTCGTAAGGCTTCTTGTATGGCGGTAACAAAAGGCGAGTCAAAGGGCTGCGGCGGGGGCATGGATGTATGTGCCGAAGCCGAGGCTGGGCTTGAGGAGGCCTGGCCCCAGAGTACCTCGTCGACGGACGGGATCTGCATATCCATGGCAAGTGATTCCGCTTCGTATGTATGTACACAGTAAGACATCTCTGAAGGGCCTTTTCGGGCACTAGGTGCTTCGTTCATAGACGGATGGAGGTCTTCGTCGTTGACATTGAGCGGGATGCGCGTGTCCCGGCTGGATGGTAGGACCCGAGCACTGATGCTTGAGGCGGCACTCGTTTTGGCTTCTATCAGGACGGTCTGCCACCAGAGGCGTCGTCTCATTTCTGTTTGGAAAGGTGAGAAGCCGAGGCGCGTGCCGTCTATGTGGAGACCAAGACGATGAGCTATATTCACGACGATGCCGTTGAGAATCCATGGATCTACTGGGTCTCTCAAGGTTCGTTGGTGTAACTGCGTTGTGGTTAGCCACGCGCAAACAGTGCAGATAACTTCAACGGTGATGTTGTTCATATGAGGTACTTACTGAATAAAATATCAGGCTCCTTATTGTATCTTCGTCGAACCGTCTCAGATAGTTGTATCGTGCCATGGCAGTCTTGAAGCCTCTAGACAGAACCGTCGAGGCATCCTTCTTGGACCAGTGCAGCATATCCCAGTGCTCCTTTTGAGAAAGAGAACCCGATGCTGCGAGGAAAATGGAGAATAAGAGCCCCTGCGTGACAGGCGGGATGGCGTGGAAGTTTGACACGGCAACTGTCATGTTGGCTCGGAAAGTCGGAATGTGAAGTATCTTGGTGACAGGGTTGACTCTATCCAAGAACACTCTCCACAAGATGATGATGTTGGGTGAAGATGGGACGCAGTTGTAGCAAAGACCCGAGGCGGGAGATATGCCTATGTAGTCATGGTGCTGATTGAGGAAGGCAAGAGCAGGAAGCCATGTCGACTGCTCGCTTTCCACCTCAAAAAGGGCACGGATGGTCTGTTCCTATTTTCATGTTGCCTCTATGTGAGTATCACTCAGGCTTGATATGGCATGGGTATGCACGAGGAAATCATCAGAACAGATAAAAAAATCAAGGACCAAATGTCGTCAAGCCATGTGAAGCAAAGCATTTACTTACATCCTCATGAGTCGCAGACGCCGTTTTGCTGTCACGGAATTCGACCCCGTTTTTTGTCTGTACAAGCCATCCTGGCGACTGAACTTTACGTTTACGGTCATCATGGTTCTGGCCGTTCGTTGGAGATTCTTGGTTGATCAGAATGGGTGGCGTTTCGTTGGCAAGATTGTCTGGCTTCGATCCCATACATTCCTCCAAAAGGGACTCGATGCTCGCGAGTTTGTCGCGAAGCTCATGATGGTTTTGTCTCCTCGGCTTGCGTGGACCCGAGGGTGGTGGAGCAAGGCAACCACGGCCATGCTGCGTGAGGGTTTGTATTAGTAGAAAGAAGAAACGGTAACCAGAGAATGTATGAATGGGATAGAGATAATAGCAACAATAGCTGCAAGGGAAGGGAACTTTACAAGAGACAGTACATACGGTGATGCATTCTGAGCAGGGGTACTTTCGGTCGCATTTCAGTTTCCGTTGCCGGCACTCTACACATGCAGGGTCGCGCTTCAGGGGCCTGTCACCCAGAGCTCGGGCAGCCACCTCGGGGCCACCTTGTTGCTGATTGTCGACTGCCGCTAGTTTCGGGCCTTCCATGTCTTTCCGTGGATAACGGAGGCTTGACGTCGAATTGGAGGATATTAACTGCAGGGACGGACGGGAATAGGAGACCATCGGGGAGCTGGACGAATCGGACGATTTCACACAAACTTTACGAAGAGGGGATTCGGAAACAAGACTCGTGCCGTGGTCGAAAGATCCGTAAAAATAAAGGAACTGGGGCTTCGGCGGAGTGACTGACGTTCTCTTGCTGCCGGGTCTCGCAAGGCAGACTTTGGAGGGTGGGGAGGGAGATCTCCCGGGTCCGGAAATCTTTTGGGGTCCGAGGCCCCGCCCGCCCCGAACCGGCAGATGAGTGGATACTCCTCCAACGCCAAAGTGGGTACTCGTATGAGTCTAAGAATGTCACCACCCGCGTAAGCTCTAGGAACTAATCCTTGAGCAGCTGAGGCTCTTCAGGGGGCGCTTATTGATTTGACCTCGGTCGTTCGATCATGTAGTACCTGATTGGATAACGATGGATAATAACCGCGATAGTTACGAGCGATGGGATTTGGCATTCACAACGGTCCTGCCGCCCTGTTAGGCAACGCTGTTAAGTGACAACAATTCTATCACCAGGCAACTGTTGCATTGAGGCTGAGCAAATTGTTGGCCATTATCAAAATCCCTTGTTGACTTGGAAACTTCCGATACCTGAATGCTTGAGAGCCGCATTGGCCACTACTATCCTGGGTGACAAATCATGGGGGCTTGGTACAAGAAGTGTAATTTGCAACCCGAGAGTGCAAGATACCATATGTTTTAACAGAAATCTGCCCCGCCCCAAAGAAACTCGTATCTTCCCGTTGAGATACATGTTATTGTAGCTCCTTTGTGGACACTCTTGAGACAAGCATAAATAGCTCTAGTCTAAGTCTCGCCATTAAAATTGCAAACCTGCAGGATGTATTCTGGCGTTGATATCGCTGCGGAAGAAAAATTGGGTGAACCAATGGATCCGAGGTGCGAAAAAGGGTTGTTTGGTCCTTATTGAAGTTATGTGTCGTCCGAAACAAGAAGTTCCAACGGCAGGTCTGCCGGCCTGTTGGAGATTGATAAAGAGACCGTGGGTAGCCACTGCGGTGGCCCGAACCCGCGGTTGAAATGGAGTTCCTATTCAATTCCTGGAAACAAATATGGTCAGTGTCGTCATATCGGAATAAAAAATCTTACATGGTCAAGTACTCTAAGTCTCCCCCCTTCTAAGTTTCTTCATTCATTCATCTCTCTTCTGCTTCTCTACAACCCGCATCCATAGAAATGAAGCATGTTGAACTAACAAGAAATACTAGGTTCAGCCATCAACAACTACCTGGGTTTCATGAGTTCACCTCTCTTTGACCATTACCCATCCTCGAATTCTTCAATACAAACCAAACGAATCACAACGACAACCAACACCACCTCCACCCATCCAGGCTCAGATTGCCCCTCTCGTCTCTGGCACCGGTCTTCCTTCCCTTCTCGCTGAGTACTGCTCATACCATTCATCCTTGAATATCAGCTAATATAACTAACGAGGCGTCCCTACTAGCGGTCTCCCCGACCTTGGCGGCCTGACCTCCGGTCTCGGTGCTCTCTCCGGCGTCCTCAGCCTCGTCACCGGCCTTCTCGGACCCCTCCTCGGTGGTCTTCTCGGTGGCCTCCGTCCTACTCAACCTGCCCCATATTTTACATCGTATACGGCATGGACCTACTGAACCTTCTTCGCCCGCACCTTCGCCCTCCTTCACGCTTCTTCCCCCCTTCTCGCTTTTCAAGCCCTACCACGCCATCATCACTGTCTTCCAAAGCCCCATGCTACTTGATCCCCTCGCAAAACTCGCATCATACCTCTTGAGGCCTGGTCCATGAATGCCCTCGCCAACGAAATCCCCATCTCCCTCCTAGCCCCCGATCCCTCGTCGTTGCAGCAATTCCGGTAACGTTCAAGTACCTCGCCACATGGTACGGGCCCTGCTCATTAGTTATGAGGCCGTCGCTGTACCGCTGGGATCCTTTGTCGTTTCGGGATTTTGTATCAATTGTGGTACAGGTTATCGGTGGCGAATCGATGGTGGCATCTACTACCTCGACACGCAAGGAGACTTAACAATCAAGATTGCTGAGAAGGCTATTTCGGGCTTTGTGGTATTTCAGCTTGCTAATATAGTCACTTGCGCGAGATTGATAATGATCCATCATCTATTGTTGTGAGACGCAAGTCCTGCTCAAGAAGATAGGTGATGGATCCATCCGTGTCCTCATTGCCGCTCCTCCTCCTCCTCCTCCTCCTCCTCCTTCACAAGCAGACAATGACATCATGCCTGCGTCTTCGATTCTCGGCAATGGACAGTGTCCCGCTTTCCAGAATCCAGCGCATTGGGCGACGTCAAAGCAAACAAAACGAGCTCGCCGCTCGCGCTCTTATGTAACCGAGCTGGGAGATTTGCCCACCATACGTGGCCATTATCATGCCGCTGCGTCCCAACGCGTTATGTTTCTCTTTGCAACGGTTGCAATTCTCATTCGAATCGTGTTAGACCTATGAATGGACCTCTGATAGTACCCGGCGAGCAGCAGAATAATCAGAAATGCTACCTGCGATATTCAAAGAGACTATACGTAACGAGCCCGATGGTTCTCGACTTAGACGTGGGGGGCAAATGCCGTTGATAGCGATCCGGGGCCGTCACCGTCGGTGACAACCAGGCGACCTCTTCCCTATTCTAGAGTAAGAGGCACAAGCAAAGCAAATTGTGATACCGTGATAGTCCTGAGGAAGGGTTACCAGATGAATAATAGCAAGCCCATGGGGGAGATGGAGATGATTTGCCCGGGGGCTCATCCTCTCTCGCGGAAAATTGGAGCCTTTTGTTATGATGTTGGGATGAGTGTCTTCAGGTTTCATGTGAACATGATGACGGCCCCAAAGTTTTTATTACGTTGTCGTACTGGATAAATGCGAGTGCGGGAAATATTATGGGGAAAAATTGTTTAAATAGTTACGAATGGCGCACATATAGACTATTTGTTATTTTACCGTACTCGGCCGAAATCACATCTATAAATCGGCCCATAAAGTAAGTGTAGATGTCTCATTTTGAATAGACTACGGTCAACTTGTAACTGTTTCACATGATATGATGGTAGAATATTTCAATATTACGATTCTCTAGAAAAGCTCCCGTGTGCTATCCAATGCACGGTCATCCTGCGAAGATTAATGGGGGAATCATCTTGCAGAAGAATAAAGTCGAGGAGGCAATGCAATCGTCTATAAGCTGAGGAGGGTTATGGTTCTGTAATTATTTTTGTCTACTTACCTAGGTACTTATCTGCAACGCGTTGACTCAAGTCTTGGATGCGGGGCCCACCCACTGCATCGGTAACGCCCCTATATACCAGTTCTAGACTAAAGCTATCCATCCGGCCCCCATTCCCTCGTTCATCTTGTAGTGCCCAATCATACCGTGCTGCAGGTAGACGTTTGCCCCAAACTCGCCCTTCAACTGCGCTGTCGATCAGAGACACGAACAGGCGAGGTTGACAGTTTGCCACATCTCCGATCAGATGAGATGGGATGGGGGGAGGCTGAAATCGGATACACTAAATGAACCCATCAAGGATTGAGATCGCCACCGGGATCGTAGATCTCGGGTCCGAGACGATCGTGTTCTACATAGAAAAAAAGACGGGAACATAGGAGGTCGCATCTGGGGCCCTGCCTCAGCCCTATCTTCGCCCCCCCAAACGGTCGTTGGACAAGTGAACAGGACCCTGATACCCAGAAGGGGCGCCACAATGTGTCGTTCGTTGCGGCCGCGCGCCCGGGACGCCACCGTCTCTTCCCCTCTGCCCACTGCGTGGTTGGTTCCGGGGGAAAAGCGTTGTGGCATCGGCTCCTCTCTCCAACACTGACCGATCTCCCGAGAGTCCTCGGCGGCCAATGAGGACTAAAAAACAGATATCCGAAGGGAGAAAAAAGATGGGCGGCAAACCTGAGATAAGGTTGGGAAATAAAGCTTCTTTTAGCGCGCTCTCTGTTCTCTGGAGTGAACCC